ACACGATCGCGATTAGATTTACAAACAATGGACGTTATGAACGTCAGAAAAGCGAACGATAGAAAACCGCTACGTGTAACCATAAATCCCTGCTAATTGCGTGCAAGAAGGCTTCCCCCATTGAAGGCGGTGCGGTTCCGATTGTCGCGCCTTCTTCGTCTTAATGACGATTAAAGATTTTCTCGAGTTCGGTGTTTCACGTGTTCAGCCGTAAAAGGCGACCGTCGCGGTAATTTTCATAAAACTGGTTGCTCACCAACTGCTGTTGTTCGCTTTCTCTTGAAAACGGGCAACGCGCTGTATAAGTTGCTCGCGAGCAACAGACGTAGCACAATGTGTACGCGTTATAAAACGAGCCGCTTGTGGCTTACGACCGGCTGGCCTTGACTTTTGCGAGAATCCCGCAGATTTATCCGAGACGCGGCCGGGATTTTCAGGGAAACCGACACACTTCGCGATCGTTCCTCGTCGTTCCGCTGAACGATCCTCTGGGAACAGGGACAGAAAATCCCGCAAATTTACGTAATTGTCCGGAATTAATGCGGTTGCGGTTGTACTGTTAATTCACCGCAATCGTTGAAAACTTGATTCTCGATGGACGTCAAGGTAAAGAGAAATGTACGATGAGTGACCGAAAAATGAGAGATTAGAGATATCGTCAGTCGCGGTAAATCTTTAAATTGACCTAATAATTTTTGAAATATCAGGCATCGATGTTGCCCAGCGTTTCGTATCTTTACGTTTGTTACTTAGTTTAAAAATAATTTGAGAGAAATTATTCCTAGACACTTTGCTAATTGCTCGCGACAAATTTAAACTTGATGCCAGTATCAGATCTCCCTGTTTAATTATTAGAAAGTACGATGTTATTATGATACCATGATATTAATAATCAGACTGCGAATTTCTTATGTAACTTCATATTTTGACGAACGTTAAAGAATCTCTCTCTGTTATTGAATGATGTTACAGCAAACACTCTCTCCTCGATATTTCTTACGTATTTTTGCATATTGCGTGTAGTCTCCGCATCTTTAAAATTCTCATGAATACACGAATTAATCTACTAATTTACTTTCACTGATTACGTGATGGGGAACTACACATGTATATTTTAATACTGATTAACTATTTGCAAGATAGTCAGGTTCGATGTTGAAGGTCAGTATATAATTCTAGTTTAAGAAAGGCGATAACTTTCTTCTATCATAGAAATTTCTCTCCGAAAGGTCGTCATAAACAATGTTACGTGAAAGACAATGGATAGAGACAGCATAAAGCATAATAAGTCTGGGCCTTGATAGCTTGAGAGACCTCGATCTTCCATCTGATACTTGGATAGTTACTCGCAAAAAGGAGGGAGAGGGGGCAAGGGAGGAAAAGGAAAGAGAAAGAAGCGAGTTTCGAGAAACCACCGAGGTCACTTGAAGAAGGGTGCTGTTCCCAACACATGATTTTTTAAACACTGACAGAGAGGAAGCAACGCATTCTCACATACCAGTCGGTTCTCGTTCTCGTAGAGAAGGTCCCGAGCAATTTCGTGGCACTGACACCGTACACCCGTGTTCTTCACTTCCGGTTTAGCCAACGGTACCTCGGTAGGGTTATCACGCGTCTGCAAGGACTACCGTCTGACATCTCTGTGAACACGTACATCACAAGATTACACATGTGTACAAAAACGAACGAGAATATCTTATTGTTAGCCGCTTATGTAATTCATCGAACAAACGCGAAAATCGGAAAAAAAAAAATAAACGTGATAGATGGAAGACTATGAATTTTTATACGTTTATTTTTTTT